TCGCAGGCATGCCCATAGATTGTTGCGCGGGATCCAGTCATAGACTTTCTCTAAATCAACACAGCACATGTACACGGAATGGGCGAACTTCCACGGGTTCTCAACAATCTGGCGTAGAGCAGTTATATGGTCAGAGGTGCTTCGAAATGGCTCGGTGTCACAATGCTGTTTTTGTATCTTAGAGTCAGTTATTCCTCGGCACCTCGTTTCTAACATTTTCGCGTACAGTTTACCCGGTCGGCTCAATTAGGTAATGCCCCGATAATTGGAACACTCCCTGTGGTCTCCCTTCTGGAACAGGGGTATAATCAGCCCGTTCTTCAGTCCGCTGGCGTCTTCCCCGTAGCCGCTGTAGTTTGACAGACACGTGTAAATCAGACCATGCCTTGTTCGCCTATCCCTTTGAACAACTTAGGGAGGATTTCATCAATTCTAGCAACTTTTGCACTTTTCAAGCTTTTTAGAGCTCATGGGATTTCATCGACAGAAATGGTGATATCCGTTCCCTGCTGCTCTAATGACGAGTCTTCCTGTGCTCGGGGCTTTGGAGTTCTTCAAAGTACTCTTTCTCTCCATCGCCAAAGATTGTTTTGCCTTCTGTTAGAGGGCGTCCAGACCTGTCCTTCAAAACTCGTAGACTGCCCTTGTTTTAACCTTCAAGCCGGCGAATGGTATGCCAGAATTCCTTGTTTGCTATCTGGAAATTGGACTCAACTCACGGAACTTCTCCCAGGAATCAGTTTTGTCTTTCGCCACTGCTTTCGCTGCCGCTTTTCGCGCTTCGACATATCGCATGCGAATAGAAGGCGCTTTGCTTGCAAGCACATTCTTTAATGCCAAGTTCTCTTCAACTGCCAGCTTTACCTCTCCTGTCCGTCAGGAAGTTTTTTTCTGACCCTCGGTAGGCAGGCCAAACCGTTTAAATCCAAAGCATTCAGTGGCAACCTCGAGTATTCCGTTCTTAAAGAGCGGTTTCCACGTCAGTGGTCATCACCGGGATCTGTTCAGAGCGTCGCTTAATGTTGATTGTAAGTTTCACACTCTTATCCGGTGAAGATAATGTTGTCCATTTGATTTTCTGGTTGCTTTTGCCTCCAGATTTTCTCATGGTGCACCATTTCTTGCAGATTGGTTGACAGCCCTGCGTTTATCTTAACTGGAATATCCACCACAGAGAGTCGTAAGTTGGACGATGCGATTATTGATCAGATCGATCGATTATGGACTTTTGTGCGCAATCTTCCTTTCTGCATACTTGGATGTTCGAAGCAAGTGTTCATTATAGACAGTCCGTTTACCTGTCCTGTCCGTTTTGTCTAAAACGGCAATAACTTGATGCGTTGCCGATGAAGTCGCTAGGGTCATTTTTTCCAATCACGCTTTTTCTGTGTCTACTCTGACATGTGCATTAAAATCGAACGAGAGACTCCGTAATCTGCACTTCGTTAAGAGCACAGTCTTATTTCTAAAGGAAAGACATATTCTTTCTTTAAATTGGGCGCAGAGACCTATAATAAGTTCATCGCATTAGCCTGTTGTAGGAGGATTGCCACTTTTCTGGTGACAGGCTTCAATTCAGTAATTCTGTCAACAAGGATAAGTTCTACGAGAATACAGGTCTCAGCAAATTTCGTGATGTCAACACCTGAGTGGCGCATATTCCACCCACATAAGTTCAGGACTCCAGAGTCTTGGCGTTTCTTTAACGGGAATCCATTTATATTGGTTTGGTACCTTTCGATCTCATCAATTAACTCCTGCTCTTTCTCTTTGAGTGATGATATATTTCAATTTCCGACTGTAAGCTCCCACTGGCGGTGTCGTTTTAGTGGACCTATTTCTGACATGCTGTAATGGCATCGCGCTGTCTCTCCCCTTAGTTCAGAACTGGTTGCGACGACTCCGTTACTGTTACAGCATACAATAGTGTTATAAATTTGGCATTTTGATATGTTGTTTTGTACATGACGTTAAACATATTCTCAGACCAGATTCCGCTTACCCTACTTCACACATGGTATGTCGTATATTTATTCATAGCATATTAATGGATAGACAGAACGGAATATATAGTCACATTTTCATGCATATTAAGAATATGAGCAGTAAAATTTTTGGAGACGGTAGATTTTCACTTTACCAGATATAACTTACTAATATAGTTCATAATAATTATAACTCATAATTTTAGGCCACAAACTTTCCGAAATCATGGTGCAACAAATGAATTAGTAAATATGCTTCAGGATGAAATCTCTCGCCTTCGTTCTCAGGTATTATGGTAAAGGCTTGCTTACTTTGTTCTCTCGTAGATTTTAGCTTGCTACGGTGACCAAAAGTCTTGGCGATGTTCACGATGAAGAGTATGTGCACAAGGCTGCTTCCCCAGTTTCAGGATATGGGTCGTGTAACGAATCTGAAGTACGAAGGCTGAAGGAAAAGGTAGGTCACGTTTTTTTAACATCCATATCTTCATTTTGATGGTGGTGTGTTGTGGCTTTGAAGTACTGCTATAATTGTTACTCTCAAAAATAATCCTGGTACTATGAACTTACTTGCAAACTGCTAGTTTAATGCCGCCGGCAAGAATATTGTTCGCTTATCACCTCTCTAGATTTTAACGGTGAAGCGCGCCGTCCCTCTGTTTCTAGTAGGCTAGGGGATCATTTTTGCAAGCCACAGATCTCTATGCCATCTGTAATGGCGGGGCTTATTTTTGGCATGCATACCTACGGACAGACGTATTCGTTGGTATTTGAACGTATTTGTTCCACTCACCAAGTGTTGCTATTTGCGTCCATGCATTGCAGGTACTAAAATGCCATAGGGTTGTGGCCTGCTTGAACAGTACCGTGGACTACTAGGAGTAAAAAGACATTCTGTTACGCCGTTTAAATCCGGAAAAGTGACAGAAGAAAACTGTTAATATCATAATAATATTCATTTTATAACATTGCATTGTGAGGGCGGAACTTTTGCTTCGTACATTGTTAGGACCGAAAAAGGTGTTTTCTATACACAACGCCATTAAACGGTTTGACCGATGATACACCGATGCTTATGCTCCTGTCTCACGGGCCATCGTGATAAATTAATGCACGAAGTTTGAGGCTACGTTGGACCGTCTGCAGCAGGTGGTTTACTTGAGGCTGAAATGCAGATTTTGATCCTTGCTGTTAGTGAAGTATTATTATGCTAATCTACCTGATGAGGCTCATTCAATGAATGTCTTGTTCACATTCTTTGTCTCGAGGGATGTTATTGTTGGACTGGATGAGTAATGCCTCCGTCATGTACGTATTCAGTCAGTTTCATTCTTCGATGGTGCCACAATCTGATCATTGGCTGGGGGGGGGAGGGGGTTTCATACGTGTCAGTAAAATCAGCAGATCTTCATTACCATTATTACACGCCATAGTTCGTTTGGGCAACGGTAGTAATACAGACTCCGAGCTACTGATGTAATCAGTAATCATGGCCATAATTATTCTTGTACAAAATTTAAATTCACAATATGTCTTGATTTAATGCGCTTAAAAGCATTTACCCATTAACTGATTTTAGATATCAAGTTTGACCCAGGAAAATTTTCGTCTGTATAGTCGTCTTGCAGATTTCAATGGCGATCGCAATGAAGGTGATGACCACAGCCGAAATTCTAACGAGGTATTCTATACTCATGTCTTAGAACAGAAAACAGAACGTTCCCAGTTATAATGTGAATAGTAATAATAAAATCACAGGAAGTGATGTTAGATCTGTTTTACGGGTTTAATCTATGTACTACCATTTGTACAGCTATTGTAGAATGATGTTATGTAGTGCTGATAAACCTGAACGATGATGCCTGAGCTTATAAATCTGATTGATCATTGATTTCATGGACATAGGTGTCTCTTGACCCTCTTGTAATAATTAGGTTATTTTGTAGTTACTGATACTGTATATTCAAACATATTTTATAGTTGAAGTAGATTGGAGTCTAAATTCTGCACAGTCTATTAAATTGCGGTATGTGGGATATAGTGTTACTCATTACGATTCTCTTTACGCAGAGAATGGGTAACTGATAATGTTTATAAGGCCAGTCCATATCTCCTGCTTGGTACCCAAAAAATAAGTTCTCAGTCGACATTTTCTTTCATGTTAAAATGTCAGGCACCATTGCTGATTTTCTTCTGTGCCACTGTCATTATTGATGATGGAGAAAGCTTCACGGCATTGAAGTATATTTTTCTGTCTGTCCCATATCGAGAAACGTCTCTGTTTAAAATTGCTTCTTGAAAAAGATCTTTTAACCTGGAAGAAATAAAACAATCTTTATGGTAGGATTGAATTAGTGTAGCATGACAAACGAATGGAAGCAACATTTTTTTCATGACGCTTCTGCGGTCTTGACCATTTAAATGGCGTCTTCCCTCCCCCTAGTTTTTGTTGTAAATATTACAATCTTGTCTGGATCTTTCTTCTGTGTTACCGACTGGGTCTTATCTTCATCATTTGTAAGTGGCATAGTTATTACGTTTCACAATGATTTTCTTAAAGTTTCATCCTTCCTTCTGGGACTAGAGGTGAGAGTGTCATCTTCCTACTCAGATTTGGCTATAAAGAGCTTGCCATTCATGAAATGCACTTGCTGTTTTAGGTAACTCGTCATCTTCACAATTAAGAAGAACACTTAATTTTCCTTCTCACTTTCCACCACTTTCATGGTTGCCTGCGAAACAGCTAATTTCTAAATGCACATTTCCTCGCACTTTACCAAATTATGTACCTACTGGCCGCTTTTACTGACCGTTCAACTTAAATTTTTTTTCCAAGAATTCATGGATTCTCAATTAATTGGTTAATTGAATTAATAACTCGTTAATGTAGTTAATTTATTAACTATCTATTCCACTCATATTGTCTCATAATCCGAACGGCTTGAGAGACAATACCAACCACTACTAGGTTACAGTTTCCGCTAACTCGGCTGTTTTACTATATACCTGGTTATTTCATTAAGAAGATCAAGTCGATGAAGGCTGAAATGGACAATCTTCAAGAGCAACTCAGTTCGAAAAGTACGAATCTACTTCGTTGTGAAGACAAATTAAGAAAAGTGCAGCAAGAGAAAAACAGAATTTCCGCCGAGTTGTCAGATGTTCTGAGAACAGGTAGGTTCTGCTGCTAAATAATTATTTTATGTAGAATTTTCTTTCAGTTAAAACTCATTTGAAAGACAACCCAAATGCTATTTTAATACATTAACAACCTATTCTTTGTGCTGTAGCTGTATGATATGCCAAGGCTGTATAATGTATTCATCTTTAGCTAGTGCTGTTTAGCCATGATAACCGCTGCGTCCAGTGATGATTTTGTTAAGACAGATTTATACATTAGGATTACGGTAGGATGAGTTATAATGCTTCGATGGTTATGAGTATATTTGTATTATGCAGTGCACCCAATTTACAACACTTTAATACTGCTATAGTAATCACCTTCGTTCGTTCAAAGTCAAACGCTTTGCACTACCTTTCAAAAAACGAAATCTGGATCGTTTAATTAGCGCTGTCCTTCTTCATCCTCATTTTCCTTTGCTCCTGAAGTTAATTGCAGTAAGCACCTGTCATTCCTTATATTCCTGATGTATCTTAAGAACCGATATATTTGGAAAGAGCATGGGCTCAGTATGCTCGCATCCAAAGGTACAACTTGGTATTTATATTATAAAAGAAATGTATTAATTAACAACAGTGCTTACTCCATACAGTGTAATAACTGTGAAAAGTTATATTAGGACCTTATCATGGGAATTTTCTATATGCGTCAGTGTTTAGAAAGTATCGCCATCCGAATCACCTTAGTTTTGTTTCCCATTACATGAAAAATGACTACCAACTACCAAATAAACGAAGCAAATGCTAACGCGACCCATCAGCAAAGCGCCATAGGCAAATTACTGATCAAATGTTCACTGTGCGTCTCTGTGTACCATAACATGGTGCTCAAAGACATTGTCGGCTCGTTTAACTCTTTTGAGGTATGGAGTTTAATTAACTGCGTGTTACGGGTTTGACATTTGGTGCTCTTCTTTCAGTTAATCAGTTAATTATTAATCCCGATGGCGGGGATCTAACGATGGTCTGCAAAATAGCCTTGTTTTGTCAATCTTTGTTCTAGT